CGGGCCTATAACTGTTATTATTCTTTGTATTATGAGTACTTCAGAAGATTGATAAAAAGAAATTCATTATGAAAATACTAAAAGAGAAAGCATAAGTATCATGTGTACAACATATTAACACTTCACAATATTTACTTGGATTGAGGAACAAAGTTTACAGAAATATTCAAACGATTATGAAGTGTCCTTCAAATGAAGAGTTGTTTGTAATAATTCTAACAAACATATTCCAACTTTCAAACCTCTAGAGATGATGATATTTTTCCTCAAGCTTTGAGAGATCCATCTTTCATTCAACCTGGCTATGGACGTATAAGTAAGACACTTCCGAACCTCCGAAAATTTCCACAAGCTCTAAAAGATGTATCTTTCATCCAACCTGTCTGGAAATTTCCACAAGCTCACACTTATTATAAAAGAAGAGAAATATAAATATAAGTAGAACAAACAGGGAGAAAATGCTTTCATAATAATCATTTAATACCTATATAGGAATCGAAACCTAGTAGCTACCCGATATAATTATATTACCACCTGAGAGCATACCTTTACAAAGCACAATTGAGAACTCGAGATCCTTCACCTTCTCTATTTCTCCTTCAACTCTAAGAAAAGCAGAACTGACTATAAATTATGAATGATAAGTGGAAGTCCTAAGTAAGTTACTTATTCCAAAAAATAGTGAAAGACCAAAATTAGTTTTTTGATAATAAGCGTAATACAAAATGCTTCTATAATAACCATTAAAATAGACAAAGATATATTAAGTCCAGAAGAGGAAGAAGACACGGTAAAAAAGGTTGCAGGAACTTTTAAAAAAACATAGTAACAGTCCACAGCTTCATCCATAAGCAAAACTCGGTTTTGCATGTACACCAGAAACGCAGGATGATATTTCAGTTAGAGTAGGTTCCAATTCTTTACATGAAAAAGTGGTGAGGTTCAGTAAACTTAAATTCATGATTTCCTCACAATCTCTGTACAAATAAATGAAGGTGAGATTACAATAATAACTACGTCTTATTCCTAAATAAGTTATAATTGAGCAAAAAATATACCTTGTGTCAGGAGAAATCTTCCTAGTGCTAATTGTAGAGGTAGAGGAAATGGTCGGAAAGTGCTAGCTACTCGGTACTCGGTAGAAAGATAAACGGGAAATAAAGGCACTTTCAGCTAATGACATATCACAATATATTTTACATCGTTTGGTATGCTTTCCATAAGCCTCTTTCATTGTGCGGGGATGTTCTTGTTTGTTCAGGTGGTATATAAAAACGTTAGAACTCCAATCAGTTCAACAGCTCAATGTTGCAACAATCTAGAAGAGTCACCGAGACAATCACTTGTTACAATATTTGTAAATTGCACAATCAAGATACTTTAAGAATGAGTTGGAAATTTTTCATCATGGAAAATAAAAACAACGGAGAGCAATTACACTAAGCTATGAACAAATATTTATATGTGATCTTCTAATTTCAGAAAGTGGAAGAAGAACTTTATACTTGACAAATTTTTGCAGGTAAAATGAGTGAAGTTATCTTAGACAATTACTTTGTTCCGTGTTCAGCTCTGTCTGCATTCCTATTTAAATTCATAGGTTTTGTAATGGACGTAACTTTAGGTAAGGTTTGGGTACACTTTACCCTATGCAAATCCCACCATGTGTATTGTTATTGTTATAGTGAGCAGAATTATGTTCAATTTATTTATGAGGGTAATTAAGCATCTAATTTGATAGAATAAAAATAAATATCCCCCTTATATTAAAATTGGAGATACACAATCTCTACTGGAGAATCTTACTCCAAGTAAGCTAAGGAAAATAGATTGGAAATAAGAACAACAATCCTCATATAGGTACACATGCATATGTAAAATCAATCAATCAGTGACATGAATGTACAAAATTGAGCTCGAAACAAGCTGAAAGAACAATAAAACCAAAAGTCTCTCTTCAAATTCTAATAACCTTGAAGCTTAAATGGTTAATTTTGAAATAAAAACGAACATCCAAAATCCTCAAAAGCAAGAGCAGGGAAAATAATTCAGACGGATGAGCGACAAAGAAGATTCATCAATATTTTGAGTGCTCGTTTTGTTCAAGAAATATATGTTGCAAAGAACCTTACCAAATGATTTAGTTGTTTCAGGCATATCATCGAACACCTTCGGTTCATCAATTTTCACCCAAAATTATTACAACTGGATCAAAAGAAATAATACATGCATATAAACAATGTAGAAAAATATTATGCAGAACTATGTCTATGATCAAATTCAAAAAGGAAAAAACAAAGAGGAAGAAGCAGCAAAGCAAAGAAGGAAGCAGAAAGGGAAAAAGTAGCTCCATGTTTCCTCATTGGTAATTGTTAGTGGGACGAAAGCTCTTCATTTGCAAAAGCTTGCAATAGCAGTGGAAATAGGGAAAGGACGGACGGACTAATTACGCATTGAAGTATCTATTTCTAGATATGCATGTCTAGATTAGATTTTTAAAAATGGAAAATTTGCTCAAAATCAAGTAGAATAAGAAAAGTTAGGTGAAAAAAACACTTACCACAACTGAGAGCTCAGACATGAAACAAATAAGCCACAAAATGTATGAACTTCGTAAGAAATCCAATGTTAGAAACATGGATACAGAGAGAGATCAGAGAACAAGGTGAATGAGAGAGAGAACACTGCGACAAAGTGAAGCAAAAAGGAGGAAGTAGTGCAACAGCCTGTAATAACAGTGAAAAGCCACGTACTAGTTACGTGTTAAACCTGGAGAATGTTAATAAGTAAAATTACGGGAATACCCACCCTTCGTTGGCTGAGCTACGTGGCGGTTTATGATTGATTTCGTCGGACTGAGGAAACCCTCACTTATTTAGAATGATGTTTGTATGTTAAGAACTACCCTTAGTATATGGTTAAGTTTTTAACTTCTTGATAACAACGATGGATTAACTCGTAAATTCCTAGGATGTTTCAAAGGCCTTAAAAAGTTCGCCGAAATTACAGGACGTCTTGTTGGCCATCTCCGGGGTGGGGTTAAAGAAGAAGTTACTAAGAATACAGGTTAAAAGAAAGAGATGAACGGGGTAGTTAAGTAAAAAAAAAAGGGGGGGGGGGGGGGGGGAATGGGTGAAATTT